TTATCCGGAAGTTTTCGAAGAAGATTGCCAATTTTTTTTTGCTATTTAACAACAACTTCTTTGTGTCGTGCGCCATGGCCTGTCATTCGTTTTGCATTGGAGATCCTTAACTTCGAACTCCTCCTATGTTCTTCTGATTAATTTCGTTGCGGGTCTAAAGTTTAACTTTTCCCCGGGACAAACTTGACCTTCACTGTTTGGTTTTTTATTGGCGGTCAAGCTGTAGATCCTGGCTACACAGGAGTTGCAGCGGTGGGAACGAGAGGTGGGAATAGTCCAATTTTGTCTCTATCTAGACAAGAAAAAGAAGTATAATAACTATATCTGCCTGTGAAGCTACTCTATTAAAATCCACTGTATTTAAAGTGCTATTCGCGAACACGACATTCTGTTACGTTTAGAATTAGATTTTAATTATGTAATTCTAGCGTTTATGTTCAGATGGACAAATTATTGCGAACTTCTCAAGGATTTTCAATCTTTTGTAAACAACTCAATTAAATTGAATCCATGTATTAGTTTTTCAAGAAGACAGACCGTTACACCATCAAGTTATCTTAGATTATTAGGTTTTGAAGTAGGAGGTAAAAGTTGGTGGAATACGGTGGCGAGCTGGATAAAGATGTAGCCTTAATCAAGAGAAAAGATGTTGTGTACCACCATCTCCATTTATGCATAAATCCTACATGACCCCATACCATAACAGCAAGCAAAGCCACTTTTCAGCACCAGCCAATATGTTACCCCAAAGTGGTAGTAGGGCAAGCTATTCCAAATTTTGGAACGTATATGCCCCGAAAAGGGCCTTAATTTGAATTTTCTTCTTATTCGTTACGCTCTAGGCAGAGCGGTCGTGGTCACGTTGAGGCGTTGTTCACATCGGTTGTAGAGGTGGATACAACTCTCCGCACGATCTCCCGCCATCTCTCTCTGTTGGCAGACTGTCTAGTGCAGTCACATACGCCGTCTCCCACTGCTGATTTCACTTGGTCAGTCCAGTAATTTGAATTGACAGCAAGTAAATTAATAAATGACCTTCTTCTTAGTCCTGCACTCTTGTTAGCGTGGTCGTAGTTGCGCTGAAGAGGTACACAGTGGGGTTTTCGATGTCATCTTCGAGGGTAGCTCTCCTGGCGATGTGCTTCCATTTCTGACGGTTAGAGGCGTCGCGAGTACACTGGACCATGGTGGACTCAGTGGCCTTTGTGATGGCGTATATCTAGTGAGTTGGCGATTGACCGCGTGCTCTCTTGCATTCCACCTGGCCCTGAACTACCAGTCTCTCCATCGAGTTTTCATTTCTAGAGACGTGACCAAAGAACTTCAGTATTCATAGTTGCACAGTTGGCGGTAGAATAAATGACCTTCCTGCATCCAATTGTTAGACAAAAACTCTATTTCTATGATGTTTCGCAAATAACATATCGCCAAACTATTTGCTTGAAATACTATTTTGGCTTGCTAATCCCCAATATTTTACTATGTCACCGAAAAATAAACATGGAAGCTGCGTTTGAACAAATTATTACGTTCAATGTCATCAGAACATAGAAAATAATGAATTCGTAACAAGTGGACATTTTCTCACCTTCACAGCTATTTTATTTAGAGATAGTTTTCCGGGTTTCTGTAAATTAAGACATATTTTTTATTCATCATCATCATCATCATCATTTCAGCCACAGGACGTCTACTGCTGAACATAAGCCTCCCCTAATGATTTCCATAATGACCGGTTGGTAGCGGTACTAATCAATCGCTCCTGCTACATTTATGAGGTCGTCGTCGGTCCACCTTTTGCGTGGACGTCCTAAGTCATCAAAGACAGCTGAAAATACTTCTACCAATTGGTCGTTGTACTCAAATTCTTGATTTGAACAATAATAACACCACGAAACGCTTTCATCTAAAGATAGATTCGGCAATAAATTGCAAAACAACAAACAGAATTTCACTGTCATTTGTAAATAGGTTGAGATTAATGTGAATATACGCGTACATTGACTTTCCATCAGACTGTATCAAAACAAAGCGTAAATTAATTATGTTTTGGCCTCCAACTCACATTCACCTCTGTACGGGACTATTCCCACCTCTCGTTCCCGCCGCTGCAACTCCTGTGTAGCCAGGATCTACAGCTTGACCGCCAATAAAAAACTAGTGAAAGTCAAGTTTGTTCATCTCTAAGTAAATTGATGATAAAAGAAGAACCAAAGTCCGATATAGCCCCGCAAAACTGGTAAAAAGTGGGCGGGGCACACACGACGTGCACGTCGTGACGTCAAAGAGTCATAATGCTGTACAAAGTTTATGGAATTGGAAATAGCTATAGAGTTACTATCAGGTAAAATGTGCCATACCTAGTGTTATGAAGTTACGCGTACCAGGGGTAGGGCTTCAAATAGTCCATTTAATGCTTCTAGTATTTAATCTGCGTTACCATTGTCACCAGTTGCCGCCACTGTAGAGTAAGGTCCTGTCACCCTCTAGTGGCTAAGACAGTGGCGCCAACTGTCTTAGCCACTAGAACTAACTATTCCTATCCTTCATCCAGCACTGGACGTCATTTAGCTGAAACGAACAAACGAACTCTCTAGTGGCGCCAACTAACGAACGTAAATAGGTACAGGGTACAGTATACCCTCATTGCGCTGTTTTGTTCTTGTTACATTTCCTCTAGCTTATTGTGTAGTATCTAAATACTCTATTTTCCTATATCGTGAGTCAAGTAAATATGTCATAGCATATTGAAAATATTGAAATCAGCACCTCAATGCTTACTCACACGCATGTTTCCCATCACTTCGTGCACTAAAACACTTACCTTTAGAAACGTAAACGCAGTTGTTTACGTACGGATTTGTAAACAATCTATTTCGAAACTATAGCGTAGTAGATGATGGTACACGCACTCGAGGTCTGCGGTTCAATTGCAAGGCTAAGTTTGTTAGGACATGCATTAAAATATATGAGAGATATTATGGACAACACGGCCTTAATACCTGGATAAACACCGTGTTTTCATAACCTAATTGTTTGTTTGTTAAATAACAGGTGTTGTGAGATTTAATAATATGCTAGAATGAGGATACTCCCGAAGAATGACGCTTTGCGAACATTCATTTAGGCGCGAGCGTTTGTTTCCTACATATTGATTGATTGAATTTTAATCTCCATTGAGGTTATAGTTATACTCGTAGACATCTAACTATACATATAACATATCTCCTTAAATGTATCGACCTGCCCATAAATAAACTTTAACAGCTGATCGAGCAATTAAGTTCGTAGAGTATTAGAACCTACGAGTAGGTTTTGTGCTCGTTAGTTTTATCCATATCTGTGGTGTTAATATTTCCATTGTTCATCTCAATCGAATATTTATGAGCACGAGAATCACTTTTGATTACTGATACTGGAAAATATTAATATTTTCTAGATATTGGCAACGCCTACCACTTTTTTGTCAGCAAAATCACTTTGACACAATTTCAGAAAATTGCGGATGTGAATCATCAGGATTTACAACCATTACTTTGTGTAAGTGTCTCGAACATGTCTAGACATTGATAGTGATACAATGTTTTTATTGCTTTTTATTCGGCTGAAACTTCACGTGACTCATATTTGTGACACATTTTGATACGAAAGATGTAGTCTGAGTCACATCGAGAACTTACAAATTAACGTTCTCTATTTTAATTATTGAATGTTAATAAGTAGTTGAATGGTATAGTTACATCTTTTTAATAATCTGGTGTATAATTCAGACAGTAGTGTGGGCAGGCCTCCCACTAGGTGGACCGACGATCTGTTGAAAGTCTCAGGAAGTGCCTGGATGCGGGCAACGTAGGACCGGTCGTGGAAATCCATGGGGAGGTCTTTGTCCAGCAGTGAACGTCATTTGGCTGAAACGAACGAACGATATAATTCAATAAATACATTGATTCATCGTTATGAGATGATTCATTCATTTGTTTTTCTCTTTCTTTCTACTGACTCAAAAATATCACCGATTTGACTTCCCACTAAGTAAGTAATGCCTTGTTGTGACGGATTTGTTCCAATAGTCATTTATACTAACTAATATTAGTAAGCTGAAGAGATACAGTGTGCCTTGTTGCGAAAATACACAAGTTCATCGCCATTAATAAAAGAAGAAGAAGAAGCTGAAGAGATTGTTCTTGAACGCGTTAATTTAATCTCAGGAACTACTGGGCAGGTTTAAAAAAATTTTTTTTGAGTTGGATAGCCAATTTATCGAGGAAGACTAGGCTAAACATCACCCTACAGCCAATAGGGGAGGAGCAGTAAAGAAAAATGTTGCGATACGGGAAATATTATTCAAACTATTTTCACGCGTACGAAGTCGCGGGTACATTAATTCATTCACAGTCATATTATAAGCAATTTGTCGATTGAATACAACAACTTTTCGCTATTCTCATGAATCTACAACTCTTTGTAGAAACATATTTGCAGTTTTGACGTTCTATTTTGGTGTAGCGTAGGAGGTTACTGAAGCGAGGGCTACTTATACTGAAATACCGCATAATACACGTTCGAAGTCTATTTTGTGTCCCAGATACAACAGACTGGCAGACTGTTAAATGGTCGATTGTTGTAAATGTCACCTTTTAATTCTACGACTATTAACATAAAAGAGTAGGTACCTACTTAGGTATGTAGCTAATTAAAAGGTACAAGTGACGCGCCAAAGCTTCGCATGGGTGCTATGTGTGTGCATGTATAAATTTTCATCTTGAATCACTCTATCTATTATTGAAAACTGCATCAAAATCCGTTGCACTTAGTTTAAAAGTTCTAAGCGCACATAGAGCGGGATCTTTTTAAATGCCAATATTTATTTTAGATAAGAACCTTCAAGTTACAATAATCTTGTGGTTATTAAACTAATTCGGCTGAAAAAAGTCACTCGTCTATTATGGAAGTTAACTTTTTCGATTACTATTTTTTAACGTTATTTTTCTTTGTTCCAGGTGTAACCAGAAGATTTTATAGTAAACTTAGTAACTTGCAGTAAATCAGGCTAATAAAAAATATCACAAATGGGAAGGCAGTGGATGAACTTTAAATTCTAATTTAATTTTGACTGTGGCTGCCGGAAAAGGCCAAAAGATGTCGCTAGTCGCTCCAAGGCGGGTTCAGCTGGACTGGGCTCCGAATATACCATGGTAAGTTTAGGTTTAAGTAGTTGAAAAACCTACATAAAAACTAGAATAATACCTAAAAGCATGTTTGGTTAGTGCTAAAGTTACATAAACATGAAAGTAAGAGAAGGTAATCGTTAGTTCCATTTTTGACCGCCAGAGGGTTTTTTTAAAGTTAATAAAAGTCCTATGATGTGATGTTTTTTGTTTTTCATAAGTAGCTAAGTAATTTTGGATTTAGGTACTCAAAAACATAACGTTGGTATTCGATTCAATTATTTTCTATTTGTTCGTTCTAAGAAATAGTGGAGATGGGCCTTGTCTAGGATAGAGTTTCGCTCTTTACCTTACAAATCAATGAATGTAACTTTAGTGGAATAAATACAATCTGTCCCTTATTTGTTAACCGGATTAGATAATGATATGCAATTAAAGTATTTTAAAGTTATCAACCACACAGGTTGTAAAAACCAAATTACTTTCTCAAAGGTCGTCGACCTCTTTAACAAACCNTAAAACCCGCGCGAACTTCACGTGTCAAACTAAAAAAAAAGTTCGTCCGTCAGCTGAGCGACCGGCGCTCACTTCACTCAGTGAAAAATGAATCTGTCATGGCTCCGCGATCGATCCTAGTTCTCCGCTAAAATCACGGGAAAACATGAGAAATATGTTGCGCTATGCGCTAAATGACGTCTCTCGCGTGTTCTGTACGTTGTAACAATTATATTCGGCTATACAGTCAGCGCGGTCAGTGTATTTTCTCTGAGTTTTCAGCGTTTCTAAATTTATTCCCTGTCAAACGGGGCGACACATAAAATTTTTCACGGTAAGTTTTGACTTTTTCGTTCGAATAACAAACGTAGGTGTGTTTCCTGTGCGTGCGGCTTGTTTTATGTGCCCGATAAATGGTTTAATTGTGATAAATTCGCCAGTGAATTGGTAAAAATCGATCATATGTGGGTGGGTTAGGAGACGTACGTCTGTCTCATTTCCGTATAACCCGGCTGCGTTGCGGAGTGACGTAACCGGTGCTATCTGCATCGTGCCGTAGTGCATTTGCGTTAGCCGGTTATCTATTCCTGTCTTTGTTACTCGCGAAACTGGATAATTTTAGTTGGTTTTTTTGTGTTAAAATTAATATTTTTCTAAATAAAACTCGTAATGTTCGCTGCATGAGCGTATGAAGGATGAATTTGCGCACCTCTCCCTGTGAACCTTTTCGGGAACAACATTTCAAATGTCGTGGAATTAAATCGATAACTGTGTCAATTGACATTTGATTACAGCCTCGGGAATCGCTTTTCGAAGTAATAAAATCATATTTTCCCGAAAATTACTGTTATTTGAGCTAATTACTTAATTATTTATCTTAGAATGACCTTAATAACTATCTAGTTAATTATAATTCTTATTGGATTCCAATTCCCTGAAAGTGCGAAAACTATGACGAATGCCTTCACGAAACGTGGGTTTTTCGGGAAAAGCCACATTTCCTTTTCTTGGAATTTCCCGTTTTTACCCGACTGCGCCAAAGAAGAGTTATTAAATCCACTTGCTTGTTTTTAGTCTAGTCAAGCCTTTCAAACTGTATTTCACTGATGAGTACAGTGGAAGGTAAATAGTTATAATGTTAAATAGGATTTTATTAGTTATTTTATAATTTTTCATTTCTAAAAGCCTGTTTTATTGAATCAGACCACATTAATCTTTCTATTTCTGTTTAATGTAATGTTTCTTCAGCCACTTCTTCTCAGCACCAGCCCATATGTTGTCCCGAAGTGGTGGTAGGGCAAGCTATATTTGGGACGTGTATAAGCCCTGGAAAGGGCCTAAGTACTAAATAAATGATTTGATATCTCTCAACCTTTATTTCTGCACTGTCTCTGTTTCCTTATTTATTCTAGTTAAATAATTAACTAATTATAACAATCTAACTGTATACTATTAAAGCACTGTACATAGTTCTAAGTATTCACAATGATGTCACATTGTCTGTACATTTTTAAACAAAGCAGTTCTAAATTGACGATAAACAAAAACAGGGCATTGTATCGTATATTAGCTACAATGTGTAGTAAATTGGTAACGCGTGGGCGGGGTGATGTAATGCATGTCCAGGTAGTTGTGTCGTTGTGATGTTGTCGAGTTTGCTTTAAATGAGCTTTAAAAGAGACGATTGAGAAATTTACTGTGTCACCATAAAACTCAATTACAGTTTTTTATAAACTTACTAGTTGTTCTGGAGGATTTCGTACTGCCTATGTTCATTAGAAGTCATGTAGGATTCTAACACTGAAATATTTTTTCCAATTGGTCCCGTAGTTTTGGTTTGGAGCCTATTCGATACAAATAAACAATCAAATCTTTCCTCTTTATAATATTAGTGTAGAAATGCTATTTGTTTTCCTATAATAAATACATTAACAAATGATTTATTTAATGATGCCCTTAGCACATCTACCATAATTAGATTTAAGATATATAATGATAGATTTAAGACTTATAATGTTTACCCTATAATTGATTCAGGGTAAAAATGTGAACAAGAATAAAAATCTTTATTCATCATCACCATTTCAGCAATAGGATGTCCACTGGACATAAGTATCAGGCCTCATTAACCCATCTGGCCAGTGTACCTTAGGCCTAATCCCCACTTCATCATCATCATCATCATCAATTCAGCCACAGGATGTCCACTGCTGAACATAGGCCTCCCCCAATGACTTCCACATCGCACGGTTGGTAGCGGCCTGCATCCAGCGCCTTCCTGCTACCTTTATCAGGTCGTCGGTCCACCTTGTGGGTGGACGTCCCACGCTGCGTTTTTCGGTATGCAGCCTTCATTCCAGAACCTTACTGCCCCATCGGCCGTCAGTTCCTTGCCCAATCCCCACTTGCCTTTGGTAAATTAGAGAGGGTTGTGCAGCTTATGCTCCTGCAATAGAGATGATGATGATGATTAGCTAAACCAGTTGTGGTGATCAATCATAGTTGCAAATAAATCAAACTTGTCAAAAGACACTCCCACTTGGTGGACCGCCGATTTGGTGGAGGTCGCGGGAAGCACCTGGATGCGGGCAGCGTAGGATCGGTCGTTGTGGAAATCCTTGGGGGAGGCCTTTATCCAGCAGTGGACGTCATTTGGCTGAAACGAACGAACGAACTTTAAAATCACAAAAGTACTTCTTTTTTCACTTCGGTTTTTTTACTCCGTAGTAAGCACTTGCTTAATAGCCCTCCACAATGCGACCCTCCCATAAAATTTACATATTAATACTATTTTGAAGTATTCTTTTCCATATCTGATATTGATTTTTATCATTTAAGAATTTTATTGCCTCCCTAATGTACAGGCTGCAGCCAATTCGACTAAAAATGCTCGTGCAATATCTCTTACTGCAACGGGACTATTCCCTCCCACCTCTCGTTCCCACCGCTGCAACTCCTGTGTAGCCAGGATCTGGGTCCCCTACGTAGTTTTGAATGCCACTATGCTTACTCCCGTATTCACAAACATTACTATTAGGTCTGGTCTCACAGTGCGCGTGGAGGACGCACAGTGTGACACACGAACCAACACAGAGTTCTATTCAACGCTGTGCGTTCCATTTGCTGCTTCACTTAAGCAAGCATCGTTTGTGAATACGGGCGTTTGTGACGAACGCTGTTGTCAGTTTTTTTCACTGCCTCATAGGTTTGAAAGCTTTTGAACTTGAATGATGTAGTCGCGAACGACGTTTCGAAAAACATTTCAATCGTGTGTCGTGTCGACAACAAACCTACACAGCGTCGGCCCAAAACTCCGCCCACAAGAATGGCGTTGTCAGTGGCCTTCATTAAATCTTCCATCAATTTCAATATACGGGATAGAACCCAGTACTTCCTGATCGATAGAGAGAAATGACCACTAGACCATAGATACTTTAAATTAGTTTTAAAGCAAGTACATGTATGTAACCTCCCAAAAATAGTACCACTCATTACTAGATTGGGTAAAAAATGCCAAAAAAATGGTAACGACCTTCGCTTTTTCTTCACAGCCGTAACCTTGCGTGCTTCATTTGAACATTTGGCATAGGCGCTGATTGCTTGGTAGGTAGGAATGAAAAACATCTTGGTTTAGTTGCAATTTACGCCCTTTTGTAAAAAAGAGACAGTTACGACGACTTAATCATGATCTAAAATATTGAATAGTTACTGAATTATTTTAACTTCTTCCGGGTAGAAGAGTTTTGTGGAAGAGGTCGCTTCCTTGCGATTAAACCGCCTAAAAGGTTGTGAACCGCTTAAATGTCTCGCCAACTTTTGTACGCTTTTCTAACTAGAATGCATGTATCCAGTACGTCTATAGTTTGAGACGTCCACCTACAAGGTGGACAGACGACCTTATAAAGGTAGCTCAGGATGGCGCTGAATGTAGGCCACTACTAATCGGTCAGTATTGAAATCATTGGGGACGCCTATGTTCAGCAGTGGACGTCCTGTGGCTGAAATGATGTTGATGATTCTGTTTTACTTGCATGTCGATTTGTCGAACCTTAACTTCGAACTCCTATGTTCTTCTGATTAACTTCGTTGCGGGTCTAATGACAGTTCAACTTTCCCCCGGGACAAACTTGACCTTCACTGGTTGGTTTATTGGCGGTCAAGCTGTAGATCCTGGCTACACAGGAGTTGCAGCGGTGGGAACGAGAGGTGGGAATGGTCGAATTTGCATGTGTATCGTCTCTCTTATCTTAGTAGGGAATTTAGTGCAATGATTTGNCGGATATAAACATACTTAAATACTTTTTTTTTTTGTAAATACATAATTATTATACATAGAAAACACCCAGTCCAATACAAACAAATATGTTCATGCACACAACTGTTTGTACTGTGCGGGAATCGAACCCGCTACCTCCAGAATAGTAGTCCGTTTCGAACCACTACACCAAACGGCCGACACTTAACCCTAAAAGCCGGACATGTGGGGGGGGGGTGTAATTTGAGTCATAGCTCACGAGTGAGAACTACCTATC